TGCATATAGGTAAAAACGCATAATTACTCAACATCCAGCAGGATAATTAAATTCAAAAAAAAAAAAAACTGTGTGGGAGGTACTTGTTGCAACAGTAGAAGAAAACTAACATAAATCTGGAAATGTTTGGGAGCGCTTCTCAGGACGCCTTCAGGATGTAGCGTGGAATGCATGTGCTCGTAGCTCACTTCAGTAACGTAAATTGGATGTGATAACTTGATCGTCAGATATCCCTTGCCGCGAAAAGCCCAGCACTCACCGGCTGCCAGAGGACGATGCTGAAAACAATGCCCCCATTAATTACTGGCATATATGTCTTCGCACTGCTATGCGTTACTGATACCTGAATCTACCACTTTATGCCCAACGAATTGAGTTTCAAAACACAAAATCCGCCAAATGGAAGAAATCAGTTGCGGTACCAAAAAATGGGCCAAAAGTGTGGAAATTTAAGTTTGGAGCGTCAGAATCTTCTAAAAATTCCAATATCCTCCATGACAAGTGTTAAGCCTGGCTTACAAAACGTCAGAATCAGCCATGAATTCATCAATGAATCGATACACTTCACTAAATAAGTTTTGAAACTTTCGATTCTGGCAAAAAAAAAAAGATTTTTAAGTGAGGAACACTGCCTGGTACCTGAATGACTGCTCTCGGTGAATATGAGGAGTACCATAATGGAATACCGAAAATTGATTCCAGCCGAGAATTTTCTTTGTAACGCTCTGTACACCGTATGCTTAGAACAGATGCACCTGGAAGCATCTCAATCTGGCCGCTTTGCAAGGAACGGTTTTTTGGGAGTGAATTACTGCTATCGCAACAGTGTTTTGCAAAAGAAAAATTCAGAATAAACAATTTCGATGAAACGGTCAAAAAATTAGGTGTTCAGAATCAATGAATTTCGAGTGAAGTGGGCATCACTTTAGCGGAAAAACTAGGCGGGTCACTCGGTTAATGTAGCTAACCTGCACTTTCCAATGCATAGTCCACTTTGCCGGTTTTATCGGCATCATATTTGTCCAGTGCGTCAGTGATCATTCGTTTGATAATCAAGAAATCGGACTCAGATAACCCAGGAATCGAACTCACACTTGATTTCTGAAAACAAACAATCTTATATAATAGTGGAGAAAAAGATTGGAATTAAGTGTCATGTACAAGAGAACATTTCATAATGCAGTCTGTGTTTCATCCCCAAGCTGTATATACAGACCGAGCAGTGAATTGGTCCCTAAAGTGGCTACATGTAAAAGCTGTAATAAAACACCAGTCAAATTTCATTGTCAATCATCACACCCACTGATTGGGCTAACAAAGGCAATCTGATCGGAACATCAACTGGGTTTATGGACCATACCAATGCCAATCAGCAAACCCACGGGTCCGAAAATTGAAGGAATTAAGGAGCCGTGCATTTGACTTCTAGAGGGAAAAAGAACTTCCTCCCCACCAAGCAGTTTTGATGACTGTATCCCAAGATGCGTGCTTTATTGAAGCACTGAAAAAGATTTATCCTCTGCTACAAGTGCGCAACAGAAAAAACCATACCGCCTGACTGTCACCCCTTTCCGCCAAATGACTTGCAAAAAGCGAGACAACCCGATTTTCTACCATTCGCATAATCTCTGCGCGGAATTCTCCTCGTTCTTCTTGCGAAGCCTTTTCAAATCGACTCAGACTGGACGAAAGACCCTAAAATCTGCATATTTTCAACTGAAGTCATTACCGGAAAAATAATCAATTATAAATCACTCGAAAAAAAACGCGAATAAAAAGAATAATAAGCACAGAACAAACTTTTTCAAGGTCATCCTTTATCTTATTTTTCAATTCGATTTTGAGCAAATTCAAATCATCGCCCTGCTTAGAGTCA